TAAGCTTGTCCCGTCCGTTTAAGATTGGATTGTTTCGGAAACTCCAACACGTTTTCTGATGCCACAGTCGATAAGTCAAGTAGACCTTTCGTAGTCTACAGCGACCTAAAAGTGCTTTAATAAAAATTCTCAATTTAGTTTTTGAATGTTTAATAAGATTTTCTACACTTCTGCACTCCAAATTGAATAGGAAAAGAAATTTAGTGGAAAGGGCTAAGAAATCCCTAGCAGCATAGTACAAGTTCAAAAGGACATTTGGAAAGCAATGGGAATTGTTGCGGCGCCTATGGGATGTATACCGCAGTCATCAGACCAATTTCCAACCCACTGGTCCTTAGTATGGTGGAAGGCTCTAGAAAAAGGGAATAACAGGAAAATAATAGGAAAATTGCAAAGACTCGCATGCCTATGGTCGAGGCCACGCAATGAGCGGCAAAGCGGTGAGCGGCAAAGCGGTGAGCGGCAAAGCGGTGAGCGGCGCCATACAAAAACACAGCTCAGTGAATGGCCACTTCAACAGTATTTCATATGTTTTAATTTTGAGCCGCTTTGCCGCTCATTACAAAATGCGCCCTCAGGCTCAGTGAGGGCCAATACATGGAAGACAACCAATTTCGAGTATGCAGAAATACTGAATGAAATAAAAGGGGGCCGGCTCAATGCAATTAAAGCTGACATAGAAGCTAGCACTGATTACATTACGCCTGCTTGGGAATTCAATACTAGAGTTCCTATGAGGTTCCCGGCCAAAGAAGAATTGGATGCAGGAATAACAGTACCAGAGGAAGGACTGCAGATCAACCGATCCTGACATCTTCTGAGTGACAGCAGCGTCTTTCAAACAAAGATCTACGCTATAGAAGTGGCGGCTAGTCTTTTACGTAGTAGTATGGTTCCAGAAGATTGAGCCACTATCTTTGTCGATAGTCAAGCAGCACTGAATACAGTAGGATCTAAAATAGTGATATCTGGTATTCCATCGTCGGTCGCACAAAGCTAACGTAACTGAGCCATATCAACGTCACTCTATGCTAGGTCCCCGGACATAGCAATATTGAAGAGAATGAGTCGGCTACTGAGATGGCCAGATACGGAAAATGTATGACTAATATATTGTTTTATAAGCAGGAACGTTGCGAGACCACAAGATTATTATAGCCGCGGCTTAATAGGAAAAAGGCGAGGGACCCACTGAAGCTCAATAGGTCTGCAGTAAGAGTCCTTATCCTTGTCATCACAGGACACTATGCTATAGCACCAATGCTTAAATAGTGTCGAATACCAACAAGTAATCTCCGAAAAAGCTGCTGATATGAGGATGAGTCAAATTGACCACCTTCTGTGTCGACGTCCGGGTCTAAAGTCGAAGCGCCTGAATCACTTGGGTTCACACTTCTTCAACAGTCTGAGCGAGATAGCGAAGTTGGAACTGTTGGATCTCCCCGGCTTCATTAGGGATAGTAATTGGTTCAGTAGAATGATTTGAAAGTACTTAGCTACTCTCTCGGTTTTGGGTACGTGTCTCCGCCTGACACTCGCTTGAAGAGGACACTCACAATGGACAATTCTGTATCAGAGTAGGCTAACGTAGCCTACCCTTTGATGTTGGTCCTTAGCAATAAGAACGTTCGCTGAACGGTTACAGTAAAATTTGTTATAACTGCTTCCAAGTAAAGATCATTGGCATGAAACCCTCCTCCCCTTTTGGTTACGCGGTCTTACCAGCATGGACTGTTATTTTATGGACATTTTATTTTTAACTTTAAAGCCCAATAGGTCTGCTGTGGTATGCCAAGTTTTCAAAGTAATCTGAAGGTATGTATTTAAATTATTCCTTTCGGCATTAATGCGAATAGTGACACAAAACACAGCTCCTCCGTTATCCAAATGCCTAAAGGTGTATACAAAGAACTTGACTAAGCAAAGAACTGACTTTAGAATATCGAAACCAGTAATAACTCTCACGCTTTAGGGGACTTAATTGTATGAGGGGCGGACATACTTCCAACCCTTTATCTGCTTCTTACTATTTTTTACTTATTTTGAAAATATCCGGCACTTTGCAGAGCTCGGTATTGTAAAGCAAAAGTCGCTGAAGATCGATGTAGATCTAGAAAAGCAAGAGGAAGCTACAAAAGAACTGGAGCGTGACATAGAAATATTCTTAACGAAATTGGAGATATTGAATAAAAAAATAAGTAAGGCGCGCCAGCAGCATGATACCGAGGAAAATGAATGCCAATTGGAGCACACGGAGCTAGTACTCAAATTAAAGGTAAGCCATTAACGAGGTTTCTTAATGCTCTCAGCCTCTAACAAAACGAATTTCTATTTAATTTACATAGGACCACGAAATGAATGTTTTGAATATGGAAGCCGAAATTGATGAGCTGCAGGATGAGATCGAGCATTATAAAGACTTGGTATTGGATAAACATCGCGAATCACTCTCGTGGGAGACCAAATATAAGCTCATAGAGGAGACGCTGCGTTGGCGCAAGGATGAAACGAATCTCACCAGCGAAATCGGTAATATGAAATCGGAGATACATCGCATGCGTATACGTTTTCAACAGCTGATGCGCGCTCAAGAGAAGCTTGCACAAGATTTGCAACATGGTGTGGCACATCGTGAGCACATCTATGTTGCCGCCTCGGCAAAGAAGTTGGCCGAGGTGAAAGCACAACGCATGAAAACTGGTATTTCATCCGAGCAGAAAGTCATCGATTTGCGTAATCGTTTGAAGAAGATACAAAATGAGATAAGCATCATTAACGATCAGCAACTTGTAAAGGTTACTCGCGAAAACGAACGCATACGCGCCGATCTAAATCGTTTATACAACAATATTGAAGGTGAAAAGGCAAACGACGAAGAGTATCGCCAGAAGATTGATGAGTGCATGTTGTTGAAACATTACAATTTAGAGCGCATTGTACGCAAACAAAATCGGGCAAAGTCCTATAGGCGTTTGGGTGTGGGAACTGTAACACCGAAAATGCGTTCCGATTCAACGATAGGACAACTGGTACAAAAGCAAATGGAAATCAATGATAATCTATTGGACGTAGTGCAGATTTTGACCAATGACTTTGCAGAAAAGAAAAAATTCTTTGCAAAAATTATCCAAGTTCTAAGAGACTAAGAGGTATATACATATATATCTATATCCTTTTTCAGAATATTTGCCTTTAATTAACGATTTTTTTGGTAAATAAATATATTTCGGACATCGAATTTCTTAAAAATATTTTTACTATTTACTTCCCGCCCATGGTGCAATTATTGCAAGTACATATTGTCTTCCCAGAGAGTATTGCTTCACATCGAAATTCGTGCTCTATTAGTTTAATTTTTAACCGACTTCACAAATTTTATGTATGTTACCGCATAACTTCGGACCACGTTAACCGATTTTGAATTGAAGTCGGTTTTGTTTTTTGCTTAAAAATTAGTTGTGACCAAGGCATATCAAACAGGTAGTAGCATTAGAGCAAAAACAACATTTGCGTGTATTTTTTTGTTGCTTCTGATATCGAAAGTGTCAAAAACTGTTGATTTTTTTCTTCTAAATCAAAGCATGCCATGTGAAATACAAAAAAAAAAATAAAGAATAAAAAATTGAAATTGGAAAAAAAATAAAATTGTTGCCACTTTTTTTCTTAGTAAAATTGCTTGCTTCTCGAAGCATTGATCCGTCCTTTGCAAGGCCCAGCCATCAGCGCACAGTGGTCAATAAATGGAATTTAATGTTCATAATTCACTGGAGCCTCCATTTCTCAACCAATTTGATATTTTTTTTTGTATTTTAAATCAAAGCTAATTAAATTTTCAAGAGGCTAGTTGATCCCGAATTTGAATTTTTATTTGTTTATATTAAATTTTTTAGTGCAAAGTGCAGAAAAGGTGCCAATATTGAAGAAGATCGGTTATCCTGTTCCAGCTAATAAAAGTTTCATAATAAAAACTAAGTAAAAATAATTGTAGGGTTATCCCAAAACGAAAAAAAAATTAAAAAGTTTGAAATGTTATAAAAAAAATTTCACCTAAAGTATTTTTTTTTTTGGTTTTTATAAAAATGTGCATTTATGGCAAAATATGTAAGAATATGCACTAACAAATCGATGTCATCTTAACACAAAACTCTTGATTCGCAACATTTGCTAATCTTTAAGTTCCTATGACTTACCAAAAAAAATTTAAATGCATAGAAATCCGGGCCCTGGTTATTAATTTTCCATGCAGTATACTTTTAGGCCCATTGCTTTTCATTTAGAGAATTTTGGCGACGAAAATTTTGCGTAGCGATTGTCAGAATTCCAATATAAAAACCCGAAGCGAGGAAATGAACAAAACTCTTTTTTAACAATTTTATTACTTTTGAAATTGAGCGCATCTTGTGTATATAGAACTTCTTATTAAACAAGTCATTTTTTAGCAAAAAAACATAACCGACTTCAATTCTCGTATACAAATTTAGGAATACCGTTAATTTTTTCATGATCCAATGATCGGATCTAAACCAAATTACGGGACGACCCTTGAGAGGTACCACATTTCCGATAAAAAAAGAACTATGGAAATCGGTTCACGTGGTCCACAGTTATGCGGCAGCATACATAAAAAAGAAAAAAATATTCCGTCGAATTGATAACCCTTTCCCTTTTTTGAAGTCGGCTAAAAATGTTTGAGGTCTTTGTTAATTTTATGTAAATAGAGTGCAATTTATGAAACTTTAAAGTTTATTTATTTACATAAAACTTGCATAAATGTATCTAAAGAGCATATTATCTGAAGCGAATTTTCTGAAGTATAAACCCCTAAATAAATTCCTGGTCCCGCCCCTGATGTATTTTATATTGGGAAACACTTTTTCGTAGACAGGGTATAGAGTTAATTGAAAATTAATACTTTTCGATCGAAAAACCTTGTTTCTCTTCAGAAAACTTTTACCATATTTTAATACTAGCGACTTTTTATTGGTCCCCCTCATTGCGTTTTTTTAAGAATTGTAGAAGGCCTATAAAAAATAGTTAATATTAAAAATGATTAAATAAACAATTGGGTGTTATGGGGCATCCATAAAGAGAAACAGAATTTTCCGATCGAAAAATACTGATTTCAAGAATTTCAACAAAAAGAATTATTTTTCTCCATATAAAATACAAGGAAATCTTTATGGGCTTTGAGGCAGTTCTAAATATCTTCTTCCTTTTAACAAAAAATACGGGTATTCCTATTTTTCCATTTAAGAAAATCCTAACAGGCGAGAGCTTGAGATTTTAAACTTTTTTCCCGCTTAATTGATCTGTACTTTACAAAGACATGCTGAGAGTGGCTTCTGTTTCCTACACATACACAGACTAAACCAGGTACCGAGTGCAAGAGATATGATCGAAACCAAAGGTCGTTCTCGTTGTTTTGTTCCCAAGAACGCTTAAAAATCCAAGCCAAAATGAGAAAAAATCTTCGGGAATGTTTTCACAAAAACGAAAGTGAGTAGGCTGTCGAGAAAGTTCTCAACGGGAATTATACAAGAAAAAACTCTGTGGACCCTTCCCAAAGAGAACAAATTGCGAACAATATTTTCGGGAACATTTCTAAAAGAACCAAAAAAACAACAAAAATGTCCGGAACTTTCTTACAAAGAAAAAAAACTGGAACAATAGTTTAAAAGGAGCAATTTCTCAGGAACTATCTGACAGTCACCCTACTGATAAATCACTGAAACGATTTTTCATCGCAACACGCAGCCGCCCCTCTGATTCTTAACGTTATGATCTCAAAACTTGTATTCTCTAGCAGAACGTTTCCCAAGAATTTTGTTCTTATTTGATCCTCCTTGAAAAATTTTTCGATACTTCCGTTCTCTTTGGAAACGTTCCCGAAAGTTTCGTTCTCAGTCTGTTCTTTTCGTTTTTAGAAGTTTTTTCTCTATTTTGAGAAAGTTCCCGAGAGTTTTGTTCGCATTTTGACCTTTTTGGAAACATTCCCGAACACTTTGTTCTAGTTCCCGTTCATATTGCTCTGAACGCTTTTGTTCCCATTGTTCTCTTTTGCGGGAACGCTCTTTACGTTACAGTTCTCGTGCAGAACTAAAACATAAACCGGAGCGCGTTCTCGGTCCCTAGTCTTAACTTCTTGGAAGATATGTGATTTTGATGGCTGTGGGGGCACTACCAAGGCCTGTCCAATTCGGCTAGTCTAAACCCTAAATAGCGGTTTAGTCATCTCCGCGGCGCGCAGTTTTCATTGGTTGAGTATATGATAAGAGATGTGTGAAATATTTACGGTGCCAAAGAGGTGACTTATACCGTTTAATCCGTTTCCGAATGCGAACCGATGCTTTCGATGTGCACATTTAGTCTTGCTCTGTATGAATTGAGTCTGCTACACCAACTGGATCGGAGTTGGCTCAGTGTAACTCTGGTATATCGGGGACGTCAAATTCTCTTAGGGGATACATGTAGGTGAATGGGGGCAGCCTAGTTGCGAACGCGACTGCTTTATGGTGTAAGCTATTCTTCCATGTAGACTCCTCTGCCCAAAGGGTTTCTCGCGTGCTAATCTAGGTGTCCCAGTTTACTTAGGTGCTGTTTATAAGGTGTTTCGGTTAGTTCTGGTCTTATCTTGTAGATGTTGCTCCGCCGAAACGAAAAGAGAACCTGTAGCGGAGCGAGTGGCAGTATTCTACCCGGTTTGGAGCCTGGTCCACTGTGTATTGCTGGTGCCCACCGACAGGTCGTCGTTGTTTACATATCATCCGATAATCTAGTAGGTGGCAAGCAGGACCTAATTGCTGCTTCGGAGTTTGCTGCTGATTGTCGTGGGGTGAACCTAGAAAGAGAGCAGGCTATTAAACGTTACAACCCGTATTCGTGGGTGATTTACGGTCAGAATTTTTGTGCCATCTGTCTCTAGGTCCAACTCCAGCCTGACGTCTTTCACCAAGGTTATGAATAAGGTGGCCGTGGACTCCGCGAAGACTTCGCGTACTAAAAGACCGTTGCACAAATCTTCGATATCTTGCCAGTTGCCATGATGGAGCGGAAGATTGCAGAGGTACATGCTAAACAGGGTTGGAGGTAACCTTAATTTACCTGTTGACATCAAGCGCTTGATATATAGTGGTGAATCAGTGTACAGTGTAGCGTGGAAATCGGTGTCGAGGGCCATCGACAGATCGAGTGCTACGAAGATTTTACGTGCACATGGGCTTCTGATTGAGAGCGTCTTTTATTCGAGCGTTAATGGCGTTTATTCCTAGGCTGCTTTGATCGAGTCGAATGTAAAAATGGCGTTAGCTGAGTCTAAGTTAAGTTGTCGAACGCCGCTTTGTATCGTGCATCATCATACGTGTAGTCTACGTGCGCTCTCCAGTCATACAGCTGTCATTTCCCGTGTTGAGGGGCGGACTGCAACTGAGAAGGAAAAAAAAGTATCGAATGGGATAATTTTTGTAACCCATAGCGAAGGACAAACCGCTATCGAACGTGCTCTCAAGCTCTTGGGAGGTGGTACGCAGTAGATATTTTTGGGCCTCAACTTACACGTCGAGTTCTAGCCTAATCTCCTTGGTGCATATGGTGAAAAATGTGACATTGAAGAGACTAGACAGGTTAACCGCTACTTGATCCGTCCTATTATAAGGTCAACGTTGGTCCAAACCCTCACTTATCTGAATAGTGATGGCATGCACTGCTATCCATGCTGCTATTCAGACTATTTTAGGATGCTAAGTCAGTCTGGGGAGAAGATAGAGGGAGATAAGGCAAATTTGTCTGTACGGTTCTCCTGCGTTCGCCATCTGTGGCTTAAAGGGTAATGGATTCTACGTATTTTCCACAGCGTCGGGTTTAGTGCGCACCCCTAATTCAACGTAGCAGTCTCGTCTTTTCTGAATTCAAATAACGATTTACCTCCACACAGATATCTGGTTATCTACCGTTTCGTACGGGATGAAAGTGAAGAATACAGAATGGTTTGGCAAGGGGTCGTATGGTTAACGGTATCTAGTACCTTCGAGATCAAGCGCAACGATAACCGTCCTATCGCAAGGTGGAATATGATCCAGACCCTCAGTTATGTGTAATGATGGAGTTGACTTCTGTGGTGTTGCTTTCCATGCTGCTATTCCTACTATTGTAAGATGTTGGGGTATATTGGGTATAACACGGATATGGGCATGTAGGATTATCTTTTGTTTACCTATTTTTCTGGCTTAAGAAGTGTAACGATTCCACATCTGCGCGATGGTCAGAGTGAACAGTGACACATATAAAACGGTTGTGACGGACCAAACGGAGGGCGGTGTTAGCTTGAGTGGATTTGAGTCGGCAACTGAAGAGATGGTTGGTGTCGTGGGACAGCCTTCACAAACCGCAAGTTTGTAGGGTATGTCAGGGTTTAGTCTGGATACATACAAGCTCAGTCGACTGCAGTGTTCAAGCCTCAATTGAGCCAGATTTACTCTGGCCTTTCGAGGCAACTGAAGCTGGTCGACTGCTGTTGGGCTTGTCGTATCATCGAGTTCAATGGTTATATCTAAATTGTAGCCGTGGATTCGATACGTCTTCTGGCGTATCTGGGACGGGCTCTGCCTCAAGCAAATGTCTGTTCGGATGCTCACTACGATAGCAGTCTGGAACTGCTTGCTGGGGACGTTCAATAGCCTCGTATGTTGCCAACAACGTACCTTTGTCTTTGCTGCCGGCGAGTGATTTGAGAGCCTAGTATGACTGCTGCTACTACAACACTAAAAAATGCGTTTCCTTGCACTAAGATGTGAAGAGTTAAGCGCGTATTAAATGAATAGCTGATTGGAAGAGCATAATACGTAAGATTCGGCAGTTGAAAACCAACTGCTTGAGCAGAAGAAAGAATAAAACCAACAACAACATTGAAAAATTAAGTACATATAATATACACATGTGATATATTTTACCATTTTAATAGTATTAATACATAGAATTTCCTTAGATCATCATCCAATTTCGTTTGCTATACATAAACATATTTTTTTCACAATTTCTCTCACTTGCGTTATTATATCGCATTAACGCGTGGCCCTTAAATAAAAAACACATCCACGAAAATATAAATGAACATGTAAACGCGTACGTATGTATGTATGTATGTACGTTGGCGGTAACGCATAACTTACCATAACTATCTTTTTTTTTTAATGTGGTAAAATTTTGTAAACTAATATAAAATACTTTTTTTTTATAAATATAGTTGATACTATATATAACAAAACCTATGTAAATCAAAGTTTCAAACTTTGTCCAAAATTTAAAAAAAAAAATACATAAAAATTTCAAACTTTTTACATAATTAATTTTAGTATCATAGAGTGCAGCTCAAAGTAGCTCAAAAATATGGTCGTTTTTTGAAATGTTTTTCTCGTACGATGTTGCGCATTTTCCCTCATATAAAAAGCATGGAAAAAAACTGCGCAATTTTTTAAATCAACGGGAATTCACGGCTACTTAAAACTTGTAAATTATTATACGACATACAACTTTAAAAAAAAAAAAATTATTAAAAAATTATACATTTTGATTATTTTTTCAAAATGTTGTACATAGTTTGAAAATTTCATTTTTGGAGTTTTTATTCCAGTGTGAATTATATTTAAAAAAAAAATATATATTAATGTACAAAATCCTGCTTCATCAAAAAAAAAAAATTGCGGTGTTATACGTGACCACCAATGTATGTAGTATATAAAAAATAAAATTTATAATAGATGCATACATACTTACATATGTATATATACTAAATACAAACTTTATGCGTATTATGTAGGTAAACAGCTGGATGCACTTCTCGTTTAAAATACTACATTTTTATGTATGTATGTAGCTACACTAACACTTTAAACTGTTTCGAAACTAATTAAATTTATTATAAAACTTAGATTATTTTAATCGATTAAGTAAATACTTTTGCATGACATTTGTTTGCCATTATTTAAACAAGAAAGTACCATACAAAAAAAAAATACATATAAAAAAGCATAATCAAAATACATACGTATAACAAAAATTAACTATGTTTTATATAGAATATTAACTTAAAGGCGATTGATTGTAACTAGTACTAATGAAACTTATGTATTTTGAGTTTAACTATTTTTGTTTTTGTAACTGAATGATGTACTGGCATAAGTGTTTCGTTTTCTACACCACTTGCTAGGCATAGCACCTGTTGGCGCATAAAGGCAGGAGGGCAAACGCTTACAAAGAAACGGATAATGATTTTGGCAATAAAATTAGCGTACTAAAAATTTTAACAAAGGAATTAAAAATAATAATTTAACAAAAAAATAATTTGTATTTACCAGAAAACTATAAACTAGCGTTTTGCATGCTTTGCAGTTGCGCGCAGCTTATTTTTTTGCGGTTTATGCGGAATTAAGAGAGGCAATGAGCATAAAGGGCCAGTAGTTTGAACGCTAACAATTGCTTGTGATTTAAAATTCTGTTTGTTTTTTTTTTACTTTTAAATTTGGCCAACTTGTTACTGGAGCTGCAATCTTAACTTTCATTTTTTTATGTAGGTATTTTGCAGTTGAATGAGGTTCGAAAATTATTTTTTACAGCATTTTCTTGTGGCTTACATGTGTGTGTCTAAGGTGGTATGCAATAGAGAAATTTTTGAACCATCACATTTAATTAGCTTTATTTGCCATTATAAAACATTTTTTTGTTAAAAATCTTGTTTTATTTGAGCAAACACTAAGCGCCTTAAAAAAAATACAATTAAACAATTTTCAAACGCCATTCAGTGGAATGCGTAAGTGTATCATTGCGGTGAAGTTATAGTTGTATGCAACAGTCCTGTGAGTTTAAATTTAAACAGAAGGTGTTACATACATACAGTGTTGCAACATTGACAGTATTTACTGTAGATACTGGTTTTTAGACAAGGCTACAGTTTTTTTAAATTTCCGTCTAGTACAAATTACATTTTTTTCAAAATTTCCGACTTCAACGAATAAATTAAAATATCTCTTTCTCGAAAGTAAATTTTTAATATAAAAAGCACGATGGAGGGGCAGCGTTTTCTATTTAAAAAAAAAAAGAACACAGTTAAAAACTGTAATTTTCCGAAAATCCCTTTTTTGTAGCTAGTTTTTAGTTGAAAAAAGGTAGTTTTTTGGAAATTTTGCAGTTTTTTGGAAATTTGCAGTTTTTCGAAAAAACAATCTGTCAACATTGCATACATATAAATACACAATCGTGTAAGCATATTTATGCAATGTAATTGATTGAGCCCTTACCCTTTTAGTATGTTTTACGAGTATCGGCAAACGCAAAAAACGCCACAGCAAGTATTTCAGATTTTCAACGCTGGTGTGACGATCTACTGCAACGTTACATGAACAAAGTAGCTACATACACTTCACCGCGACGAGCACTTAACGTTTTGGCATTTCAAATTTTACTCCCCTTGCTTGCTAAAATATTCTTAGTTTTTTTTTTGTTTGCTTTTAATCCTTCATAGTCTTACTATCCTGCACTTGATACTTTCAACAATTTCTTTTCGATACAATACTTAGTTACACTTGCAGTTCTTATATCGCTTTTCGTTAAACATTCAACTTTTTTTTTGTTATCATTTGTTTTGCGGGCTTATAGGCTATATCATTAAATTTAAACCATTTTATATATATGTATTATTTTATATATATTTATTTATCGTAATTATAACATATGTATGCATTTATGTACCTATGTATGTATATGTATATGCAGCTAATAATTAAGTTTTATTAATCTATGTAAATATGTATTACTTCATTTTGTGTGTGTGTTTTTTAATTTGTTTTTATTTTTATTTAAGCCCATATCCATGCCTTATTCGCTTCATTCGCGCCATTTTTTATTATCGTTTTTTTTTTTTATATTACAAAACAGTTCTAGTACATTGTTTTTTTTTTTTTAACGCAACTTATCGCTCGGCAGACAGGCAGGTCACATTTCTATAGTATGAAAGACTGAGCACTCGTCTGCATGTAAGGATGAACACAATGTCTATATAGATAACTAAATTTGTTTCGTTCCGAAAAGACAATAGAACGATGAGCTGTATGAGGCTTTACAATGATATGGACATAGTGCAGCGAGTTAAAATACAGCGGCTCCGCTGGCTTGGTCCTGTCGTTCGAATGAACACCGACGCTGCAACTCTGAAAGTATTTAACTCGGAACCCGCTGGTGGCAGCAGAGGAAGAGGGAGGCCGCTATTGCGATGGAAAGGGAAAGGGGAGAAGGACTTGGCTTCACTTGGCATTTCCAATTGCCGTCAGTTGGCACAGAAGAGAAACGACTGGCACCAAAGAAGAAGTTCCAAAAAATTTAAATTTTTTAACTCTTCAATTTTAAAACATTCCAACTTTTCATAAGAAATTTGTTTCACAAATGGTTTCATCAACAAACAGACAAACTCCACTTGAGGTTTAAGATTTACGGCTAGGTGCCACTTTTTTCGTCGAATCCTTACAGATTTTTCATTGCTTTGGGTTTGCTTATGCCGTATTTCCGCTACTCATATAGAAGTCTTTAATGTTCACAAAAGCCGAACGAATATGCGTATATATATATATGTATATAATAACACATACGAAAAACTAGAGAAAGATCGGCGTCTTTTGTGATTGTGTCCTGAGCTTTAAAATGGTACTTCTGTCATTTCGTTATCAGCAGTACTGGCAGCTCTATCGGCAGATAATCGTAGGGTGCGGTATGTCGACCGAATGCAGCAGTAGTACTGCCAATTCATAGGCTCCCGTCATCAAGAGGCTTTGAAAAACTTCGACAAAAAAATGTAATGCCAGTGGATCTAATGATGTTCGAGATTACGTTGCCGGAGCAACCGTTAGTTATTTATGATTAGCGCAAAAACAACAATTAATAACTTGACTCATGTTTGCTAATTTTTAAAACGTATATCCGTTAGCTGTTGCCAACCATACCGACATTGCAGAGTTCACTCTGGATCATTGGCTGCTTCTTGAGTTCTGGTGACTAACAAATGCTAATGTTGCTGGAGTGGCTTACCAGATATAAATGCTTAGCTCACATAAAATCCTAATGGAGATTAATGCAATGCATTTTTGTAAGCATTTGCCTGCCGGTGGTGACATAATCTAAATATTTTTCTGATACTAACGTTTTCTTTTAAAATAAAAAATTGCCTCCCGTTAACCATATGCACCAAGCGATTAGATTTTCAACATTTTTTTGTTGTTTTCTTGATAACTTTACTGCTTTTAAAATAAAATGGCAGATGTGGATTGTGGGAATTGAACTTTGTCTCATCATAATTTTTTGCTCATCTAATATTGGTTTCTATTATCTAAAACAAACATTCTAAAAGTATATTAAAAAAAAAAAAGGAAATTATGACAATGATGGGATTTACGATAAAATATATGCACAAATACGGTCAACAAACGACAAACGAAGCGATACAAAATCTACTTATCATTTACGCTACTTAATTTATAAAGGTATAGAAAAATATGGCTGTCGTATATACATGATTTGTTGTTGTACGACAAGTAGAGAATGAAATAAAAACTGTTAAAAAATAGCTTGTTGATAAAACCTACACAATTCAACACAGTATAGCATTGTACATATGTATGTATGTGTGTTAAATAAATCATAAAGCAATAAACGAAATGAGCACTAATATAAAAAACAAATAAGTATGTATAAGACGGTAAAAAATGCGATTGCCGTGCATGCCACGCAAATAATCGCAGTGAAAATTAAAGGTACGACAAACATATGTATATGTACATAATATGTATGTATGTATGTACTTAGTTTTCTTACTCATTTATCAATTATATACAATTGTGACGCTTCCATGTGCGTACCTATGTGTTTGCGTGTGCGCGTGTAAGGGATGTGCGCTTGTGTGCGCCCGCTCATGCGAGCAACTACCAACAAAAGACAGCCAGCCAGCCCTCGCTATTGTTCTTCACCGGGAAAATTGCAAAAAGGCGACTGCCTGCCTGCTGCCTGCCGGTGTTGCGCCTGCCTGTCTACCTACAGCTGGTGCTGTGCATGCTGAATTTGCAATTGCGCATGCGTGTTGCTTCCGCTGTGTTGTAGGTGTGGTGGCGGTGGATGTCTTCGCCTGAAAAGGTTATTCAATAATTGTTGCTCCAATTCGAGGGCGTTTGTTGTATTGGTGTTGCTGTTATTGATGGCCTCCTGTTGCTGCTGGTGGTGCTGTTGCTGCTGCTGGGTGGTGAAGGGTGGTAGTTGGGAAGTGGGAGGATCAGTCATGAGTGCTGTAGCCGCTGCTAATGCTGCTGCCGCCTGCTATTGTTGTGGATGTTGCGGCTGATTGTGCTGTTGTAGATGTGGTGGCAATTGCACTCCACTTCCTTGTGGCGGTGGTACTGGCAGACCGGCGCCAGGTGGTATTGACACCTGTGGCAATGGCGGTTGGCCGTAAACACCACCGCCTGGTGGCTGTGGCAACATATGATGCTGC